TTTCTCCATTACTGTTCTGCAACGATATTTTGGTGGCGCAAAATGTCGTCTACGCGGATGCTTGACTAGGAACAACCGTCTCCCCAATAACAAATTCACCTTCTGAAGTTGGAGAACTTGCGAAAAGTAGCCACCACAAAATAATTACAAGAATCCATGCAATTTTCAATGAAGTAAAACCACTTGCATCGCCCATAGGAATTGATGTAAAGAATTACTGTAATAGTCATCACCACAACTAAGTAACATTTACCAAAACTGATATAGAAAACATCCATGTCTATTACACCATCATCTTCTTGTTCATCGTTATCCTTTGGCTGCCATGATGATTCTTCTTCATTACAATTGTTTCGCAATGGAAATTCACACAAGAAACGATTTTCTTCATAACTCGTTTCATCGAAGGTCTTAAACTGATACTTTTTCTTGAGAATCTTTCTTGATAAGTTATTGAGGATCACACTAACAACTGCTAGTGTGGTAATTTCAGTGAGTTACCGGGAGATAATATTATTTAAGTTGTTGTAAGAAAGATCCAAATTTTTAATCTACTTCAAATTTGAGAACTTTGCAGGTATAGATCGAGCGAGATTGTTGTGTGATAAAATTTCCATCATTTTTTTTAATAAATATTAAATCATTATTTCTTTAAACAAATATAAAAAGAGAGTGCAGAATCTAAAATTCATGAATTTCTCAAAACCTCATTACCTTTATAAACCATGAGAACATGTTTATGATTTGTACAATCGCAGCATTTCTAGACTTCTTGCTCCTTAGCTTCAATTCTTCCTACATTGGCTTTCTCCTTCTCACAGTGATACTGGATATAGTTTTTTTCATGATAATATGACATTTTCTATCACTATGATCCACTCTAGGTCTAAAATTTGATATAGAGTTACTCCTATCAAAATTATTTTTTTATATTATTTTTCTAACACGAAAATCACAATTTTGCTTTTGAAAGAAACCCATTACAATTAATGTCGTCTTATAATTGACATAATTATTTTCTACTTCTGAAATCTTATCATTATCATTTTTTTACCCCTTCCACCCTCCATAAAGTTACCATTTAACTCCACATTCGAGATTAAATCTTAAAACTTCTTTAGATTATTTTTTTCGTACCATTGAAATTTTTATAAACACAAGTAAAAGAGGTGAAAAACTCCTTTACCCACGTATCAAGCATACCCTAATACATAACACTAGTCAAATCTTGACTTAACATCTCAAGTGAATGGCTGGCTAGGATTTTGCAAAATGAGAAATAATAGATGAGTGGTATACTGAAAATAAATATGTATTATATGTGGAGCAGGTATAAAATCAATATAATTTATTCTGGAGCAATAAATAGAATAGGATAAGACCCATTAATTTGGATTTTGAATACAAGTATATCCATTGAGTTTTGCATATTAATTTGAAAGTTATTTGGATTTGTTTAGAGAATAATGTCAAAATTATCAAATAAAAACTTTGCTCCAGTCATGGATTTTAACTTTTAAGAGTCAACCCATTGGGTAGAGGTAGAGTTGGATTTAATAACTATAGATGACAACCTAATTGCAAAAAAAAAAAAACATTTGATATAGAAAATTTTTAAGGAAAATAAATAATTTACTTTGTTAATTTTATTTTCCTATTCATTATTATGATGCTTTTATAGTTTTTTCTCCTTTTTGAAAGGAATTTTTTTATTTATTATTATTAGGGTTTTCTAGTTTATTTTCTATATAAAGATTTATAATAATTTTTTGAAAATTAAAAATAAAACAAAAAAATTATTAAATATTTTAAAAATCTTTCTATATTTATAATATTTTTATTTCTTAGAGTTTTAACTTACAATAAACATCAACATTGATCCAGAGACCTAGTTTGAAAAGCACTTGAACATAAGGACTTCAGATGCTTTGGGCCATGGGTAGAGACTTGAGAGGTGGTTTCTTGAAATGGGCCAAATATATGAATATTTTTTAATGCTTACTCTACTGGATAGGTAAATGCCCTGCAGGTAATAACCACGATAGGAGTCCGACTTAATTAGAGTTGATAGGGCACAAGTATATATAATATTGTGCTCCGATTAATACAAAAACAATAATAATAATAATAATTAGGGTAATCTATTCTTTTATTCGGCTTTCTAACCTTCTCAGAATTGCATCAATTAAGAAGCATTAACGGCCGCAGAGAAAGTTACTAGAGATCATGAAGAAGCTGTCGATTTTGTAAGGAAGGTGCAAAAGCGCATCAACAAGGAGGCTTACAAAGACTTTTTGATGACTTTATGTGCATACAGAAACAAGTGCAAGGATGTGGTGGATGTGTACAGGGACGTAGTTGAGCTGTTTGCAGACTATCCTGATTTGCTGGAGGGGTTTCACATATTTTTGCCAACTTCTGAGATGATAGCTGATCTGGAAAGCAAATTGCAGAGATTTTATAGATATAAACAAACTTGAATTGTGATCAAATTAAGTCATTAATTGGTTTTATATATAATATTTTCCTGTAAACTGAAATCTTACCGTGTGTTTGCTTGCTGTAGTTTTGCATGTTAACTTAAGGTTGTAAAGCTAAGACCATATTAGAGGTACAACATTGTGTTTTTATTATTATTATTATTATAGATGTCCGAATCAATTTGTATGTATATCAATTAATCCTATGGATACTAAAATTAACAATCAGGTAAATCTTCAATGATCTTGAGGTTTGTAGGACTCGAACTGGTGATTTTTAAAAAGCAAACTTAAAACCTAACCAATTAAGTTATACCCTACGATTACATTATAGTATTTTATATTCATTAATAATGTGGGACAAGAAGAAATTATAATAAGGTTATTCAACTTATATTTAAATTAAGGATATATTGATATTTTCTATAGATTAATAATAGAAAAAAATACTCATTTTTTTTCCTTGTAAGATAATATTTACAACGTTTAGAGTTTTTGTTTCAAGTGTTTTTCACTTATATTCTATCTTTTTATACATATTATTTTTATTTTGTTGTTTTCATTTCATATATATATATATATTTTAAAAAATAACCTTGCAAGGTAATCTTCAAAGTATATATTTATCTAATTTTTAATTACTATACTTATGAATATTAAATTTAAATTTTATGTGGCATATGTTTAAACATGTAAGTGATTTAACAATAATTATTTTAAATATATACTTGAGTTAACATCATTTATCAACCTTCAATGTCTTCCATTTTCATGTATATTAAAGATATATTAAAAAAAACATTGTAGTTAAATATTGTTCCTTCAATTATGACAAATTGTGTCTCCATTTGTGATTCACATTTAAGTCAACAACTAAAACTTTGACTATTAATGAAAAAAAATTAAAATTTTTATTTTTTGTTTTTATATATAGTTTAAGCAAATAGAAACATGAATTCAATCTATAACTAGATATCATGCCTGCGTGATGCCGTGGGCTTGAGGCATACTTGTGTATTGTCGTGGGTTTATGGAGAAAAATAAAAAATTATATAGAAAAAAACTGTTGCAATTCATAATATTTTCAAGAAAAAAACTACAAAGTTAAGTTCTTAATCAGATTCATATTTACGAAATAAAATAAGTAAAGAAAATTTTGGAAAAAAATCATAACAAAAAAATCAAAAGGAAAAAAATCACTTAGAAAAACATTGTAGCAATCTATAGTATTTTATGAGAAAATCTACAATTACAATTCTCAACCAGCTTAATATTAAAAATAATAAAATCGATAAAGATAATTTTGAAACAAATCATAAAAAAATAATGTGGGAAAACATTGTAACAATTCATAATATTTTAAAGAAAAAAACTATGAAACTAAATTATTAATCAGCTCAATATGAAGAAAAAAATCCATAAAGACAATTTTAGAAAAAAATAAAAAAATCATATGAAGAAACACATTAGCAATCCATAATGTTTTTTTTTTTTAAAAAAACTATAAAGTTCAATTTTCAACTAGCTTCATATTAAAAAAAATAAAAACAACAAAAACAATTTAAAAAAAAATGAAAAAAAAGAGACAATTTTGGGGAAAAAAGTCAACAAGGATAATTTAAAAAAATACAAAGATAATTTAAACCAGTTTAATATTAAAAAAAATACAAAGATAATTTAAAAAATACAAAGATAATCAACTAAATTTTCAACCAGTTTAATATTAAAAAATCGACAAAGATAATTTAAAAAAAAAAAGAAAAAAAATAATTTTGGGAAAAAAAATAAAAACATGTAAAGCTAAAAAAAATGAAAAACAAATATAGAAAAAAAAGAGGAAAAATAAAAACGAAAAAAGCTATATTACTTTCCCATGTCTTATTAATTAATTATAAGGTTAATTATCAAGTTAACCTTTGTAGTATAGTTTTTAAATCTAATTGTGATCAATTGACACGAAGCAAGTTCAGAATCACTGGTTGAATGGATTAACATCACGTCAATTATCAACCTCCAAGATCTTTCATTTTCATGTATATTAAAGTTTTATAGTTTATTAAAAAAACAAAACATTGTAGTTAAATCAAAGGTTGGAGGTTGTCTCGAAACAAGTTTATGGCCATAGAAATGTTAATTAGAATTAACATTGATTAATTTATTTTTTTATTTTATAAAAAATTAAAATAATATTATTATTTATTTTAAAAAAATTAAAATTTTTTATTGGGTTTTATCGGGTTAAAAATCAACATGAATTTTTTACCGAATCATAACAAATTAATTCTTCTTTTAATTTTATTAAAATTAAAATCCGGATTAGTTTAGAGGTTAACTCATTAAGTGATGTCGGGGTTTAAAAAAATGATTGCTACCAAGTCTGAATCCAATCCTTCTAGTGTTGGACTAAATTGAATACAAGTAAAGTAGTAGGACTAAAGATTAACATGTAAGTAACGTCCCGACTGGGCAAGTACAAAGCGTGACATTGATCATTGACCCCTCCCCTGCGGGCCTGTTCATTGGTAAAGTTTTTTCAACTCCTTCCGCATTTCTACTTGGCAATTAAAGACTCCGCCTGTCAAATGCCGTCGGAAGACTAAACCCGGTGACCTCCCAACGATTCTCTCTCCGGTAAGTTAGAAATCCAATCTCATCCACCCCTTCCCCCCCTCTCCTTCTGATAGGGTTTTTAATCTAACATTGAAAAAGAAAAAAATAATTTTTTCAGTGACTTAGGGTTTTGTTTAGCGTAATTTTGGTGTAGTTTCTTTTGATTTCTTCGTTAGGTTCTTGTGTTTCAGTGATTATGAATGGCATTGCAGTGATTGAAATGAACATGCAGCCTTGATTGTACGTTGTTGATGTCTTCTAAGCCTTTCATTGATTTTGCTATTATTCTTTCTTTTGGAGAATTTTTTGCTTGGAAATTCTAAGAATTAATTTTTTTAGGCAATTTTTGTTTCTTTTATGAGAATATTGTACTTGGAAATTCTAATAATTAATATTTTTTTCTTTATGAGAATGTTGTTCATAATTTCCAAGAATATCCAGTCTAAATTTTTGTAAGATTGCTTCAAATATAGTAATTTTTTTTATGGGGTTGAATGTAAGTGGAAAAGTGGGGGATTGATTTGCCAATGGAGGGATACTTGGGTTTAGTTTGGTCAATTGCTTGTGAAACATCAATGTTAAGCCTGACCTGGTTTATTTAATGGAATCTCATGTTGTTGTTGTTGTTTGTGGTTTACAGCTTGCAGGATGGGAAATGATGCCAAGGCTAGTTGTAAGGGTAAGGATGAGGAAAGTAATGATATAAAAGGGAGAAACATTGGTAACAGATCATCAAGCAGTTTGGGTGCTGCTAATGATACTTGTGGTCTAAGAAAGTCAGCTAGACAAACATCATTGAAGAAAAACTTGACTCCAAGCCCTTCAAGTAGTAGAAAGTCTGAACGTATTGAGAAGCAGACCCCCCTACAATTCCTCCTGTTACGAGGAAATCTGAGAGATTGGTTGAGAAACAAAGTTTACCGACTTCTTCTAGAAGCCTGAGAAGGGTAAGAATCAGTTGTCATCTAGTTCTTCTGGTTCAACGAAGTGTGGTAAAAGCTCGGGTTCGTTAATTATGAAGGAAAAGCACAAGAAAGAGAAGAGTGTGAAACAACTTGAAACTGAAGAAGTTGGAAACATTGACAAATCTGTTATCAAAACTGTCCTGGTTGGAATTAAGAGAATGGATGCTCGTGCTTACAGGGAGCTGTTCAAACAGAAACAAAAGAAAGCTAGACTGGAAGGTAGTCAAGATCTGATAGTAAATAGGACACCTGGGGTTGATACTGAGGTGAAGAGTGGTTGCAAAGTGATGTCTTCTAAACAAAAAAGAAGTATTGACAACTTGAATTTTGATGCTACTGAAATGGTTTCAAATGAAGATGGCGATGCAGCTCCATATGAGTGCGGCAGAACTGATTCTGTGGATTCATGTTCCAAAAGGCAAAGGTTGAAGAAGCGCAATAAAGTGTCCAACAAAAGCACTGATTCGCCTTCTCTGAAAGCTGCTTCAATAGGTAACTGGCTAGTTTCACTGTTGATTAATTGTTCTGGTTTTGTTCCTTACCCTGTATGCACAGATGGTACTCTTCTCAGAGTATTAGGTGGCAAACATTGTGGGATTTCCTTGATTTTTTAATTAATCTTCATAAAATATCTCTTTTTCTGCAGGAACTTCTGGAGCTCCAGTGCATAAGATGTCTCAAGTCATGCCAAGTTCAATTAATCACTTGTTCATGAATGCTGCAGTAGGTTCTTTGATGTGGTGTATTGGGTCTGCCTAATAGCCAATAAAGAAAATAGCTCTGAAGATATCGGAACAACTGAAAAGAGAAGCAAATTATTGATAAGGTGAGAGAAAAGAATAGCAAATTTCTACAGTATCAACTGACAATGTGGAAGAAGAGAATAACACCTGATTTGCAGAAGCTGGGGATAATGTTGAAACTCAAATACACTCTTACAACGGCAATTTTCAACAAAAAGCAGGAACTGCGCAAATCCACTGGAAGGAATGGAGGTTCGGTTTTGTCAACATGAAATCCAACCTAATGCAAACAGATCTCATACAATCTTTGAATGGGCGTTGGTTTGACTCCTACAAGCTGCGGGCGAATCTTCAGCGTTTCGGCAGGCAGCGTCGTGAGCAAAAGAAAGACAAAGTGTGACACTCCAATCTGCTCGTTGCTCCCCTGTTCCGATTAGAAACAGAGATTCAAGAAACTATGCTACTGTATGAGCAAATGAACAGTTTTTACTATGTGGATTTGTGATTAAACTACAATGCTAAATACACCAACTCTGTGGATTTGTGATTAAACTTGGAAAACAACTACAGTACGAAAAAAGCCATATGTGGATTTGTGATTGAGAAATTTCATTTTTTTATTTATTTTTTGACATATTAGGTTCCACTAGATGCACCAAGTCAATGTGAGTGGTTGTCTTTTTTCTTGTTTATGAGGATCCAATAGATGCATGAAGTGAGTTATGTGAGGGGTGCTCACCGTCAATAATACTTCTTAAAAGGGAGACACATTGATTAAAAGATGTTCGTCACGTCGTACCCCCTCAGCCTCTTCCACCACAGTACACGCATTTCACTGAGGATATTTTTTTACTTGCAAGTATCTTCTCTACTTCTTAATTTTCCAAACAAGATCCTGTGATGGCAGGGTAGAGGCTTCTTTGCTGTGGTTGGTTGCTTGTGAGTGGTAGAGGCTTCTTTTTCCATCATTAAAGTTTTTTATACCATTGGCTTCTAACTTTTTTTCGCCTCAGAATGTCTTTATGGCTCAAAGTTGGATACTCTGCTTCTACGTTGCAAAGTCGAAGGGTGGGTTTACCCTTTTGTTCTAATAACAAAACGAGTTTAGGATTTCAAAGTACTAATCCAATAAACAATGATCTTCTACTTCATAGGTTAACTTTCCCTGGACTGCTTATGTCATTTATTCATAGGTCTACTTGTATACTATAACCTGGTCTAAGAGGCAATATTGCGTCTCTCTTTCAGATCTACATATCTTTTGAAAAATCTTATCACACTTGGATCAAGATCAGAACTCTAGCTCTATTTTTTTTCTTTTTGAATCTGTAGTTCTTTTTATTTTTTCTCGTCATTTTTTTTAAATTAAAAAATATAAATAAATTACTACAAAACGAATAAAACAAAAAACAAAACCAGCATAAAAAAAGTTGATGTGAACTTGCAAAACGAACTCAAGTTGTGAAAATTTGACAAAATATAAAATAAACATTTGACAAATCCCAAATATACTCGTATTGATGTCTACAAATTGACGGTGTCAAGCATTTACTGGTGACAAGCAGGGGCAAGATGGCAGGTTGGAAGATTCAACAACAGCAAAACAGAGACAAAGGAGCAGAGAAGAGGAGGGAAGAGCAGCAGTTTTCTGTTTTCTGAGGCTCAGCATTACATGATGAAACGTCTGTACAGACCTGAGGAACTTGACAGAGATGATAATTTTCCGGAAATTGATCCTCTCCGTAGCTAACCCCTCTAATTACAGAAGAGTTTCAGAGACCCATCTCCCCTGGCTCTCTTAGATACGGGTGATTGTTGTGATATGTTGAATTCTCCAGAAATCTTCACAGCGGTACCTCTCTATTGTCTTGATGAATGGTGGGGTGTCACCCTTGCTTTGCTTTCCATGGCCGGGATCTGGATCGTGAAAAAATAATTTAAAAATATTAATTAAAAACATAAAAAAATAAAAAATTTCTAAATTTTTCAAATACATTTATGATTTTTGAAATGTAAAATCACACAGGTGCCAAACTACAATACTAAATCTACCCGCTCTGGGGATTTGTGATTAAACTTGGAAAAAAACTACAATAGTAAAAACGCCATGTGTTGAAGAAGGTGGATCTTCTTGCTCTGATTTCAAAGCTTTTATTGAAGAGCTAAGGTGGGGTCGCCCTTGGAACAAAGGCAGATACAAGTGTTGTCACTCTGAATATTTTGTTTGAATTTAGTAGTGGTTTTGGCAATTTATTTTTAGACAAGTCTTGGGAGTTGAAAGAGTAATCACACTCAAGTCAATGACCAATCCAAATCAGTTCCCTTCATAATGGTTCAGGAATGAGCAGTCCAGCTTATATATTTAGCCTAAATAACTAATCAAATATAAAGGCTGAGGTTAGAGATAGTACACTGCAAAGCATCCAATAGCTAGACAAACAATCATCACAAACTAGGAACTACCATCTTCCCAATAACAAATTCACCTTCTGAAGTTGGAGAACTTGTGGAAACTAGCCCCCACAAAACAGTAGCAAGTATCTATGCAGTCTTCGATGAAGTAAAACCACCTGCGTCGCGAATATGAATTGATGCAGAGAACTGCTGCAATCGTCATCACCATAACTGTGTAACTTGCACCGAAACTGATGTAGAAAAACTCAATGTCTATAAAACCATCATCTTCTTGTTTATCATTAGGCACTAGCTGTGACGACACTGCTTCCTTGCTACAATTGTTTCGCAATGGAGGTCCACACAAGAAAGGATTTCCTTCATAACAGCTTTCATCGAAGGTCCCAAACTGATTTTTCCTCTCGGGTGTCTTACCTGACAAGTTATTGTGCGCCACACCAAAAACTTCCAGTGTGCTCATTTCAGTAAGTTACTGAGGGATGACACCATTCAACTTGTTGTAAGAGAGATCCAAACTGTCAATCTGCTTTAGGTTTGAGAATGTTGCAGGGATAGATCCAGTGAGATTGTTGTGTGATAAATTTAATGACAGTAACTTACTTAAGTTTCCCAATTCTTGTGGGATTGCTCCTAAGAAGTTGTTACTACTGGAGAGATCAATACCAGACATGAAGCTGAGAATTTTCCCCTTGTAACCATAATACATATTTTTAGTTGTAAATTCTATCACTTCTTTTGTAAAGTTGTGCCAAAAAGGGTTTCTAAAGAAATGGGTACTATCCACCAACGCTTTCTGGGAACTTACCTTGAAAGTAAGATTGCCCAAACAGGAGGGTAGTGGACCAGAGAGCTGATTTTGTGAAACATCCAAAATCCTTAATTGCTCTAACAAGCATAAATGAGCACAGGGAATTCACCATTAAAGTGATTAGCCCTCAGAAGAATAACACTCAGTGATGGAAGATTGCCAATCCAATTTGGAATGGAGCCGGTGAAGTTGTTATCTCGAAGATCCATCGTAATAAGGGAAGAGCTGTTACAAAATCCATTTAGTAATGGACCACTCAATCTATTATTGGATAGATGCACATGGGTTATTTGTAGTGGATTGGAGCAAGATGGTGCAGAACCAGACAAGTTGTTTTCAGAAAGGTCCAAATATTCAAGTTGGTCAAGCTTACAAAAGTCTACTAGAATTGGACCATTAAAATGGTTTTTGGACAAATCAATTGTGAAGATATGCTTCAAATTGAAAAACCACCTTGGAAGCATGCCTGAAAACTGATTGTTACTCAAACCCAATTCATACCATATTTTCCAAGAGGGTGGTGGAAAATAGAGGGTGGGGAAAATGTGGTAAGTTGTTATCACTTAGAGAAAATACAGACCAGAAGAATTGAACACCGAGGTCGGTATTTGCCCACCCAAATTGTTGTTTGACAACTTGAGAAACGTTATTGTTGTTAGTTGTTCTAATTTTACTGTGGACAATTGATTGTTGGATAAATCTAAAAATCCCAAAGAGCTGATATTTCCTAAACCAGAAGGAATACAACCTGTGAATCCATTCTCGGCCATCATTAAGCTCCATAGCTCCATAGATTTGGAAATATCAAACAAATATTGTTTGGAATTTGACCATTCATGTGGCTGTTGAATATATCTATGACTTTCATATTTGGATTTGGGTGATCTTGCAACTGTAAAGTACCAACAAAGGAGTTCTCGCTCAAAAGTAGTTGCTCCAATCGTGTATTGTTCTTAAGCAACCACGATGGAAACATTCCAGTGATGTTGTAGGAGAGATCAAGGACTCTTAAGTCATATTGGTGATAGAGGAAGGTGGGAATTTCTACATTCACTGCTTCTAATGTTGTACTATATGTATAAAAGCGGAAAAAGACTAGTTGGAACTTTGGAATCAAATCATGAAAGGAAATGGGTGCTGTTACTAGTCTGTTGTTCTCACCGGAGAACAACTTGAGACTTGAGTGGTTCATAAAAGGCTTCATTGAAATGGGAACTTCAAAGAGGTTATTTGATAGTGAGAGGGATTCAATGCATATGAGGTTGGTAAGAGGACCGGAGGCAATATTTCCAGTAAATTGGTTACTAGAAACATCTAATAGTTGTAGAGATGACAAGTTTCCTAAACAATCTGGAAGTGAACCACCAAAATTATTTCCGGAGGGATCTAACTACTCCAAATTCTTCCATTCACACCAACCTGTACAATTTATCTCAAAATAGTCAAAATATATAGTGTTGAAAGAATCTTGAGTGGATGGAGAGTTGTTAATTTACCTTGAGCGGGCAGGGTGCCATTGAGGTCACATTGGCCAACAGACAATACTTTAAGAGTAGTCAATGTTACGATGTTCTGGAGAAAGTTTAATGGGAGAGAAGTACGATCTAGATGCAATTCTTCAAGGGTGCTCGAATTGAAGAAAGTCCCCGTGAAAGAGAAAGAAGAAAAGGTACGATGAAAATAGTGGTGGTAGAGAGTAGCCATTCCTTTCAATATTATTAATTAACATTTTAAGAAACTAAACACTAATTTACGTTGACTTAAAGTAGTATCCTTGAGAGAAAGGGTCTTGAGGGATGGTTTTTATTCCTTAAGATTGCGTTTTTGTCAAGAAGGATAGATTGGAAGTATCCATTTTGTGTATTGTAATATAATCATCTGTTAAGCTTGGCTTAACAAAATGAAGCAGAAGCAGGGGAGGAGAAGAAGGAAAACAGAGAATTGAGAGACTCTTACGTAATCCTCCTACCATTATATTCTTACACGGTTTCTAGGTAGAAACTGTGTATCATTACCTGATCCTGTCAACTTATTTAATGATAGATCCAAAGACTTGAGGGATGAAAGCCCACTCAGAATTGATAAGATGCTACTGTTCAATTGATTGGCACTCAGGTTAAGGTTCTCTGACTTTCCCAGCCTCATCGGTTGGAGTTGAAAACCTACAACATATATATATAATTCTCAAATTTTACATCAAAAAAATATACAGTGCATAGATCAAGGAAGAAGATAGATTGCAAGTATCCGTTCTATACATCGTCACTCGTAATTTTTAATCATCCTAATTTTGGTCCAGCTCACTTTAATCTCTTCCTGTCTTATTAAAAAAACAATTTATGGATAAGTTGAAAGCTCCATAGATATAAATCTTCAGGGATGAAAGCTCAGTCAAACATGATGAAGTGCTGTCATTATATTGATTGTTAAATAGATATAAAGTCCTCAATTTTCTTGATAAAGAAACCGTATAAGAGAATGTAACTTATTATTGATACCAGTAAATCCTGTCAACTGCAACTCATCAAAGCTAACATACTGTAAGATAATATAATCTCCACTGCATATATACAAAGCTAACATACGGTAAGATAGCTAACATACAAAATATGTGCAGGGCTAACACAAATTCTTCCTAATTGAGTCCATCTTGGAGGTTAGAAGGCTGGAGTTCTGCTAGAAGAAGATACCTCTGGAGAGAGTAATTAAGCAAGCCGGAACTGCTTAGAGTTCAGTTACCGAAGCTTCAAGTTAAGATCATTTTCATTAGGATGTTGAAATAATGATGGGATATGACAAATTAAGCTAAATCCTCTGTTCAAATGGACAAAGAACTTACTGGCAATTCAATTCAATTAAAAGTATGGAACTTTATGTTTGTTTATTTGCTTTTTACATGGATGAGGCAAACAGGACAGGAGAGGAGGTCTAAATACGAGCAATCAAGCACATTATTGCAAGGAAGACAGATTATGCCGTTGCCTTGTTTTAAGTTTAGACTTGTGTTCTTTCAGCAAACAAAATTATTGTAGAACCACATTTCACCTTGCTGGTATGATCTTTTTGTTCTATTAATTATTTTTTTAATTGAGAAAATAAATCCTGTAAACTATTTCTTGTGAATAGATTCCATATTATTAGGGATATAGTAATCACAAGAAGCCAGGAAATATTGGTTGGTTGCTCATTCTCCAAATCTAAGACCAAAACGCCACATAATTAAGACATAAAAAAGAAACAAACAAATATGGATACAAGCACAAGAACAAACACAGGTCATGTCAAAACAGAAAGGCTAAGCAACAAGAACCAGACACTTCGACAGAACACTTCTCACAGGCAAATTGCTAAACATGTTGTGAGCAACCATTGATTTGAAATGCGACTGCTTCCCCGCAGAGGATTGCAACAAATTCAGAAAGCAGCCCACACGCTCATGATAAGACCCAATCACCTTCTGAATCTGGACAACTTGCGAAAGTTTATAGCCAAAAAGCAGTAGCAAGTGTCGATGCATTCTTCAATGAAGTAAAACCACCTGCGTCGCCAATGCGGATTTATGCACAGAACTGCTGCAATTGTCAACGCCGCAATTATGTAACACACACCAAAGCTGGCATAGAAACTGTACATGTCTATGAAGCCACCATCTCCATTGAAATCGTTAGGCACTCTCGCTGATGGTGATTCTGTTTTGTCGCAACTGTTTTGCAATGGAAGTCCACAAAGAAGAGGATTCCCTTTATAACTGCTTTCATCGAAGGTACCAAATTGATTTTTCATCTCCGGTGTTCTTCCTGACAAATTATTGTACGACACGTTGAAAACAGCTAGAAAGGTCAGTTCAACGAGTTGTGCAGGAATTCTCCCATTCAAGTTGTTGTGAGAAACATCCAAGCTCTCTATGTGCTTCAGATTGGAGAAAGATGAAGGGATCAATCCAGTGAGATTATTTTGTGACAGATTTAGAGAATATATCCCACTTAAGTTTCCCCATTCTGTCGGGATATCTCCAGTGAATCTGTTACAAGAAAGATCCAAAGCAGACATGTAACGAAGGATACCGCCTTCGTAAGTGTAGAAATTTCTCTTTGCTGTAAGCTCCACAGCTATTTTTACATCGATCTCTGGCCACAAAGTTTTTTCATAACGATAATTAAAACCTATGGATACAAATATTTCTTCCTGGCTTCCATAATCTCGTGACGTCATACCAGGTTCAACCGAAGTTTTTTCGTCTGACGCTGTAAAATTTAAATTGCTCAAACATGAGGGTAACAAACCAGAAAATTTATTTTCTGAAAGATCCAATATGCTTAATTTCCTTAACAAGCATAACTGACGAGGAAGTTTCCCATTGAATTGATTAGATTTGAGAACAAAAATGCTCAATTCCGAAAGGCTATCAATCCAATTTGGAATGGGCCCAGTTAAGTTGTTATCGCCGAGATCAAATATAACCAACGAAGAGAGATTACAAAAAGCATATGGCAGTGGACCGCTCAATTGATTTCTGTAAAGGTGGACATAGCGTAAATCTGATGCACGGAAGCCCAACGGCAAAGACCCAGACAGATTGTTTTCAGAAAGATCTAAAAATTCAAGCCCATAAGAATTGAAATATTCTATTGGAATGGTACCTTCAAACTGATTTCTGGACATATCAATTGCCCGAGCAAAGCGGTTTAGTGACGAGTTCCCAATTCCCCTTGGAAGCATGCCTGACAAAAGATTGTTACTGATATCCAACCACACGAGTGATGATTCAAAAGAAAAGGTACCTGGTACTTGTCCTCTAAATTTGTTTCCATCTAGACAGAGGTAAAGTAGGTTAGTCATGTTGAACACAGAGAGTGGTAATCGCCCTTTGAAATTGTTATTGGACAGCTTCAAGGACCACAACGAGGACCCTACTGTTGGAAAATTATGCTCAAGCAGTTCACAAGACATGTGATTGTTGGAAAGATCCAAGTATTCGAGAGAGCTCATATTCCCAAAACAAGGAGGAATACAACCCGTGAGGCTGTTGTTAGCCATCATGAAGTTCTTCAAACGTGGAAAAATCGAACATATGTTTCTTGCAACTTGACCATGTATGTTGTTGCTAGACATATCTACTGTCTGAAGGTTGGGTGTTGGATGTTGTGGCAGCTGCAAAGGACCGCCTATAAATGAGGTGTCTCTCAAATATAGTCGATCTAACTTTGTATTATTCTCAAACAGCCAAGATGGGAAAGGTTGTCCAACGAATTTGTTGTGGGATAGATCAACAAACACCAAATCATGTTGGCTATGCAGGAAGTTTGGAAATCCAGCCTCGAGTGGTTTTGGAGTACAGTTTGAAGCACTAAAAACACGAAGCTGGAACTTGGGAGCTGAAGGCTGAAAACTGGGTGCAGCTATTAGCTCATTGTTATCGCATACAATGAACTTGAGGTTGGAGAGGTTCATAAATGAACCAAATGATATTGGAACTTGAAAGTAGTTATTTGAAACTAAGAGGTATCCAAGCTGCGTAAGATGGGAAAGGTGACTAGAGGCAATATTTCCCTCCAATTGGTTGTAAGATAAATCCAAGGATCGTAGAGATGATAGATTTCCCAAACAAGGAGGGAGTACGCCCTTTAGATTGTTTCCGGAGAGATCTACCTCTTCAAGATTCTTCAGTTCACACCAGCCTGTAGAATATATCCATATATATGTTCATTGTTAAGGGAAAGGGAATATATCAATTATGTAATTGCTAAGTACGGTTTTAAAGTTTTAGTTGATTTTTGGTTTTAGATTATATTTAAACAGCTTTGTTTGTTTTATATATATATTAGAGATTGGTTATTTAGATTATTGATATCCATAATTTTTTTAATTAAAAGTTTTCTAGGAACGAGAAATTTTAGAGATTGAGAAACCCTAGATTTTATCCTTTGCTAAATGTAGCGTAAAGTTTCGAGTAAGCCTTCAATTGACACCAACCTATACAATATATATTGAGCGGATGGAGAGTTGTTAATTTACCTTGAGCGGGCAGGGTGCCATTGAGGTCACAGTAATTAAATAATTTATAATGTCACAAGACATAGCTTAATTTTTCAAATTAAAATAAGTTTTCATATGATATTAAAATTTTATTAATTAAATATTCACCTTCATTTATTTTAAAAAAAATTAAAAAATTGAACAAAATTTAATAGCGTGTAGATGTAAGTTTCAAATTATTTCACTCGTTAAAGAATTAATTATATAAAGCCTTTTTAAGGCTTCATCCAAACAATTACTTAAGGGTTAATACACGTGTAATTAGTAAACCTCACTAGGGAATGCCATCCGAGGTAGGAATGATTTACAACTTTACCATTGAGACCAGTTGATCCTGTGAACCTATCCACTGAGAGATGATAAAACGCTGTCGTTCAATTTATTGTCACCCAGATAAAGTTCCTCCAAATTCCTCAACCCTGAAGCCTGAAAGTATCCATTTTGTGTATTGTAATATAATCTTCTGTCATTTCTTGCGTGCGTAATCCATTACTAACTTCCCCACATGCATTACACGTGTTATATTGTTAACTAACTCTAACCGTATCTTAACAACTTCTAACACGTGTCCATGCATCTGCCAGCTACCCTAATTAATCTGCACTAACAGTGACCATAATAACAGCTGTAACAATATATACCTTTAATCATCCTAATTTTGATCTCTTCCGGTCTTATTAGAAAAACAATTTATATATAAATCTTTAGAGATGAAAGCTCAGTCAAACATGATGAAATTAATGCTATCATTAATTACTAAAGTCCTCAATTTTCTTAAGAGAATGCAACTTACTATTGATACCAGTAGATGATCCTGTCAGCAGATTGCCTGACAGATCCAAAGACTTGAGAGATGAAAACCCACTTAGAGATGAAAAGATGCTATCGTTGCATTGATTCCCAAATAGGTCAAGGTTCTCCAGCTTTTTCAACCTTGATGACAGGACTTTGAGACCTGCATGATGTTTCTCAAAATTAAGCATACTGAAAGGAAATAAACGCATAGAAGCTAAATCATATGAGAAGGAGAAAAAAAAATGTTTCAAAGCTAAATAATTAAACGGTTACCATCGAAGGTACCTGATCCTGTGATCACCTCATTGTATGACAGATCCAAAGACTTGAGAGATGAAAACCCACTTAGAGATGAAAAGATGCTATCGTTGCATTGATTCCCACGCAGGTAAAGGTTCTCCAGCTTTTTCAACCTTGATGACAAGACCTTGAGACCTGCATGATGTTTCTCAAAATTAAGCATACTGGAAGGAAATAAATGCATAGAAGCTAAATCATATGACAAGGAGAAAATAAAATGTTTCAAAGCTAAATAATTAAACGGTCACCATAGAAGCTACCTGATCCTGTCAGCTGATTGTCTGACAGGTACAAAGACTTGAGAGATGAAAGCCCATTGAAGCATGATAAAATGCTTTTATCATTAAATTTGTTCAGAATTAGGTCAAGTACCTCCAGTTTCCTCAGTTTTGATGATAGGACTTCGAAGCCTGGAAGAGAAACACATCAAAGCAAGATAATTGACATTAAACACCTGCTAGCCACTTCATCAGCGTAATCTCAGTATAAGATTCACACAATGATATGAATTTACTTTACGATTACAAGAACAGAAGCATTGAACCGACCTTGATTCTCAGAGCAACCAACCAGTCCATTATAAACCAAAGCAAGCCTTTGCAGTTCTTTAAAAGGCAGAAACAAAGATGCGTTGAGAACCCAATCCCCCAAACTCTGATCCCTTGCACCCGAAAGAGAGAGCCAGACCACTCGCCTTGTAGTGTTATCACATTCGATCCCAGACCACTCACAACAATTACTACTGTACTCCACCCAATCTCCCATGTAAATGCTGTTTGGATTGGTCAAAGCTTTGATCTTTAAGAGACCAATTCTCTCATGCTCCAAGCACCCATAACAACGACCACACCAGTCGCCAACCAAAGTCAATAATGCTAGCAACATCCAAGCCCCCATTTTTTTCATCATCATCTTGAATAATTCTATGAAGTACTACGTAGAATATTGTTGTTTGTTATGTCATATGTGCATTCGGGCAACCATAGAGGTCCTATTTATACTAAGTTTGACATATAAATTCTGTTCAATTTAAATCAACTTTTCAATAAATAGTTAATGTTAATGAGCACAGTATTTGGGACTGTGAATACTACAGTCAGTATTTGGGACTGTGTACACCTTGGCTCTCTTCATACAGTCAGTAAAAATGAAAAAAAAAAGAAGCTACTCCGTGGATTTGTGATTAAACTACAATACTAAATATACCCACTGACATGTGGATTTGTGATTAAACTTGGAAAAAACCAACAATACTAAAAAAAGCCATATGTGAATTTGTGATTAAGAAAATTCATTATTTTATTTTTTGACATATTAAGTTCCACTAGATGCACCAGGTCAATGTGAGTGGTTGTCTTTTTTCTTATTTATGAGGATCCAATAGATGCATCAAGTCTAAGGCTCCACAATCACTGTCTGCATCAAGTTAATTCCTTCAACTTGTTGTGTAAACTACTCTGGTTTTTCTGAGACATGGAAAGTCATGTGTTGTGAACACTTGATTTGATCTTGTGGAATACAAAAATTTCTTCCTCAACGTTTTTCATGGAATGAAGTGATTTCCCGGTAGCTTCACCATCCACTTGCACTTCTTTTTCTCCGTAGACTTGTGAAGTCGGTCAAGATTCCCAATATATTATCGACATCATCAATTGTTGCTAATTTGGTTGAAGAAAGAAATATCTTTTAGGCTGATTTACTTCCATATTAATTATTGTTGGATTCTTAATCTGAATGATATATATTAGTCCATTCAAAACAAATTCATTTTCTTTTTTATAAATATATTTATATAACTACGAAAGAAGAAAATGCATTGACTAGAATATTATTGATGTGTTTGAACGAAGAAAGTTAGGGCAGAGATGACCATCATAGACACCGTGCGGGCCAATAAAATTAAAAACAAAAGACAATATCAATGGCTTGCTAAAAAAACAAGTTTTATGTTAAATTTATCTATATGTTAAATTACTTGATTAACTAAAGTTAATCTTGTAATATTAAATTATTTGATGTAAAACATGATTAATTGACATATTTAAAGTCAAATAAATAACAAACCCCGCTTACTTTTAATATTAAAAATTATTTTCCAACATAAACTCTTTAATGTAAAAATTTAACATAATTAAAAAAAATTGTGATTACCGTTTGAGCAATTAATTTGATCTTGGGCCCTACAATCATTTTCATTATTTTCCAACACAAACTCTTTAATGTAAAAAATAACTCTTGTGGAACGGGGTGTTCCTCCAACTTGTTTTGTAAGCTACTTTGCTTTGTTCTTCGTGGACTTGGGAAGTCATTTGTTCGAACTTTTGATTTTCTGACAAGTCTCTTAAATCTCATCATCCACTTGCACTTGTGTGTTTCTTCTTCGTAGACCTGTGAAGTCAAGATTCCACTGCATCAATCTCTATCCCATCAAAATGAATTTGGTGCAAGAAAAAAATATCTTATATGTGTTTGTGTGTGATTTACGCCTGGTTTTATAAATTAATTAATTAGAAAGTGTAAATTGTAAAACCCAACCAATAAGATATCTACATGCATGTCAGACAGTTTCCATTTATATAAAAAAGAAGGAAGAAGGAAGAAAATGCATTGATTAAAACATGGACTTGTTAGAATGGAGAAATTTAGGGCGGAGATGATGTATAAAGACAGAGTATGCCAGAACACTATCAATGGCTTAAAAAACAAGAACAAATAAAATCATTAGTTTTGAGCTTCAGGAGACAATTTTAGCCTATCTTTTTTTTTGTCTTCAACTCGTTACAAAAACCCTTGTCATTTGAGATTTCATGCTTGTAATGTTTCTGTTTTCAATTAGTATTACGCTTCCATCTGTCAGATTACTGTTGAACTTGATAAGAACTTTGAGCAAATTCCAATTTGATTTTTGTAGCGAATTATATCACTTAATTCGCCTCAGACTGTCTTCATGGCTCAAAGTTGGATACTCTGCTTCTACGTTACAAAGTCAAAAGGTGGGTTTACCCTTTTGTTCTAATAACAAAACGACTTTAGGATTTCAAAGTACTAATCCAATAAACAATGATCTTCTACTTCATAGGTTTGGACCCTTTTTTTCTTGTTTAATTGTAATGTTAGGTTGGTTGCCATTTCATGTGCAACAAATAGATGGCACAAACCATTGACTATTGGTAGCCACCATTGTTGAATGAGCTAGAGTTGGTAGCCACCAATGTTGACAACAAACCAAGAATAACCTCTATGAATGCCTATAAATAGAGGCATATGTGACAGAGCAACATGAGAGGAAGAAAAGAGCCAAAGATGTGAGAAATGTAGGAGAGAGTGGGCTATCATTGCAGCACTAAAAGAGAGAAATAGAGTGAGGTTGAGAGTTATGAAAGAGGGGATGATTCCTCCTCCTTTATTGTTGTAAATCTTATACTCTCCCTACATAATGCAATGGCTTCTCCCGTGGATGTAGGCGGTTTTACCAAACCACGTTAAATATTGTGTCAGTGTGTTTGACCTCCTATTAGCAAATATCAGTACATCACCGGTCGGAATTCCCAACAATTGGTATTAGAGCTTTTGGTTTAAAGTGATGTTTGATTTTTCTCAAAAAATAAAAGTTGTCAAAATTGTGTTTTGACTATACCACTGTGTAGAGGAGGAAGAGACGAAGCCATTGGTGAAAACCGCGTCGAAATCGGATGCCGAAAACCGCTGCACACGCTGGCGGGGGTGACTGTCCACGTCAGCAGTTCTGCACAGTCATCAGACACGTCACCTGACACATCAACACTCTGACCAGTCAAACTACCATGTCACCAGCCACGTCCGTTCTGCCACATCACCAAAAATCCCCTAGGACTGCCACGTCAGATTTGGTTGACCCTATATGTCCCGCGTGGCTGACACGTCATCACAACCACGTCAGCTCCCTGAGTTTTGATCCAGTGTGGTGCAGGGACTATTCCTCCTGCCAAGTGGCATCATCTGCAGCGTCCAGTGATCCTAAAGTTTGATTGTTTAAATCTGAGCCATCTGAAGTCCGATTCGAGTGATCTCAATATCGTTTCTAACATTTTTGGCCATTCCGGACGCATCTGTAAGGTTAGATTTTGCAGATTCGAAGCCGTTTCAAGTTGAGTTGGAGCCGAGCCGAGGGACAGGATTCTGTGTGGCAGAGTCTACATGCAACCGATTCTGAGATTGAATCTGAGCCGTTTATCAGGCCAGAATTGTTTTGATCAAATCTTAGTCGTCTGAAGTGCGATTTGGGCAATTTCAGACTTGTTTCCAGCTAATTTGATCGTTTCGAATGCAATGGTTGTATATACAAAAAGACAGTACGATGGATAGATATGGCCTAAGAAGTTTTGGCTAGGAGATTGGGTTTTAAGCGGGACCGTTGTGACCCCTCCAATCTTTCCTGGGAACTTGCTTAATGGAAGGATTATCCATATGGTACTATTTTCGTATATATGACAGTTTGTTATGAAACTATTAAAGACTAGTAGGATGACGACACAAAGGAACAGTTGGGTTTCGTATGATCAAGGATATGATGGAGTGGTGATTTCTCCAAGGAAGTTAGATTCGGTGACTGTAATTTCTCGAGGGGAGAATTGATGAAGACCCTAATAATGGAAGAGCAATACAGCAAAGGGATAAAGATTGGCACCCTATTTTGACTTGGATAGATGTTATGACAGGATGAGCTACTGTCAAACATAAGCAAGGAATAGGGAGAAATCTGGAGAATAGAAAATGCACGAGGACACATGGAGATTGTGCAAGATTACCCGGAGGATCCAACGAGGTACTGTAATGAGACAGCAGGTGCAAGGAGAAGAAGTGTTCCTAGATGAAGCTCAGAGCAGAGATTGTGTGAAGGTTGTACAACAGGAAGTCTCTTGTGCTCTTGATAAAGACAACAAGCAAGGACCTTTCCAATGCATGCAAGGATGGAAAGATGAGCTGTTGTAGATGCACCTAATTGAGGGGGTGCAAAGGCCTGTGATAAAAGGCGACTGCCTATGATGAAAGGCGAAGACACCAAAGGGAGTTGGTGTGGGTGGAGCTGTTAAGCAGAAAAGGCATAGAAGCTCCAAACATAGAAATCGAGGTGGAGGATTGCGAGGAGTATACCGCAACTTTCTCTTTCTATGTGATCAGTGGCAATGAACTCTTCCAAGTCCACATGGTGATATAGAATCTTAGTCACTGAAGACATCCTCGATGAAGGAGGATGTGACTGCTTTATGATGAACAAAGACACCTCAGACAAAAGGTGTGTGGGCCATGAAAGGAACTCAAGTATAAATCGCCGCATGACGATGAGTGGAGACACCTCAGGAGAAGGTGTGAGGACCATGATATGAGTCCAATTTTAGACCATCTCATGAAGACGGGCAGAGACACCTCAGGAGAAGGTGTAAGGACCGTTATATAAGTCCAAGTTTAGACCGTCTCATGACGACAGACGAAGACACCTTAGGAGATGGTGTGAGGACCATGATATGGGTCCAAGTTCAAATCGTCTCATAATGACAGGAGAAGACACCTCAAAAGAAGGTGTGAGGGC